GTGATCTCTCGATGATTTCTGAAGCCCAAGACATCTCCTATTTATTTGCTTGGCAGCTGGGCTTCTTCCCATTCTGAAAACGAAAGTTCGGATGCAAAATAGGAAGTTTTCTCGAAATGTAACACGGCCGTGTTGGGGTGAACACGGTCCGTGTCAATTGTCTGATAAAAAACTACGCGCTTCTGCACGGGCTAGACACGGGCGAGTTGCGTCTCGACACGACCGTGTTTGACTCGACACGGTCCGTGTCAATTGTCTGTAAGAATGTCTTCGTTTCCTCGCTTTTGCACGGCCGTGTTTAAACTCGACTCGGCCGTATTCTGGTGCAACTCGAGCTAGAAATGCCTTAATCGTTCTGTTCCGGTCCAGTATGATCCGAAGTCCTCGATTATGCTCCTTTGACATCCATAGTGCGTCCATTACCTGTTCAATCACCAGAGAATGCAGAAGAAGCAAAACCCAGTGCTAAAATGATCCTAAATGTCTAATAATGCACACAACCGATGCGAAAGTGCTACACAATGGGCTTTGAAATAGATGAGAAAATCGTGTTATCAGATGTTTAATAGAGTATAATTAGAGTAAGTGAGAGAGTTTTGGTTTAATTGCTGTATGATATTCTATACGATATGCGATACATTAGTATTGACATTTTCATTAATGGTTGCATGAGTAAATGTTTATTTCATTATTTGTTTGGTATGTTCGATGAATGATGAAATACAACTCGTTATAAACTCTCTAGTTACAAAACATTGTGGAAAAAAATGATATATTAAGACTAACTTGAGGCGTGTAGATGATCATGGGTACTTATTTGAAATGAAGTATTTGATGACCCGAATGAGATTATCATATGGACATGAGTCATTACTTGAATCTCATGTAATGGTTTGCTTTTGGATCCTATAACCTGAGATGTCTATAGTATCCGACATGAGCAGTGACATACTTTGATAGCATCAAACGTCTTACATAACAAAAAGACTATAAAGACATGTTTAGGTACTGTAATATCCCGATTTCCGAATAATTTATTTAATTTAATTTCGGGAATAAAATAGGGTAAAACAAGTCTAAAATATAAGGTAATTGGCATAAACATCGAACCAAGGGACAAGTAGGGCTAGAACACGCCAAAAACGTCGGAAAAACGAATGAAAAATGGTCTAGACCGATCGGTCCAGAGGTAGACCGACCGGTCCAGCGAAAACGGAGAAAAAGACGAAAAATCGGCCAAGACCGATCGGACCAGGGTGCAGACCGATCGGTCTGGGCTCAATGACAGAAAAATCTGTCGAGCTGGCACCTTTCGGCCGCGATTATTGCGCGACAATCTGTCCCCACGCGCCACCAGCCGCCACTCCCGTGTAGTGCCGGACACAGACTGGCCCCCAGGCCCCCGTTTTGGTCGATTTGGTCTCTGAAATAGCTGATAAATCGAGTCAAACAGAGGAAGAAAATCATCTCGACTGAAACTCCTGATTTTCGAAAAGGGAGAAAGGGAGAGAGATTGAGGACGAACTGAGGTAAAGAGAGCTCGGAAAATCGAAGAGGGACATCCCAAGGAGGTTCCTGGGAAGTTTCAGAGGGTAAGAAGACCTTTAGAGCTCGCACAAGCTCGGACAAAATCACACCTTGCAGAAATCCGAGGTGAGTGGTTTTGAGTTGTGTTTGTGAGATTCAATTCTCATGAATAATGGTGTAGATTAGTGTTTTGATAACGCAAATCTAGGTGTTTAAATAAATTCAAGTAATAAAAACCTAGATACAACGAATACCGCAAGGATACAGATCAACTGTAGTACTAGGGTCGAACACAGGGAATAGTTAACGCTTAAGAATAAGACTTGACTAAAAATCAGATCAGCAAATAGCAGATAAAATATATGAATATAAAAAATAAAGCAATAAATAAACTAAGTAAATCAGATAACTAAACTACCGTAGCTTCGGGATAACCTTAACACGCAGGGATTGTTTCTAAGGATGGAGAATCTACGAATATCGAACTCTAATCGGGGATCTCAAGTTCTAATATCATATTTGGCTCTCTAGAGTCCTAAATCCAGTATCCAATAATTTAACCTATCGATCTTTCAACCTAATAGATTAAAATATTATACGCATTAACGAATCACAGTTCCTAAACCGATTAACCTATCTCTCAATAGTCTTAATCAATTCATTCAATGAATTATTTCCGAATCTAATTCCAACTCTTGTTGTCAATTAGAATCTAAGATCAATCAATCAACATGCCAAGAAGTTTAAAAGCAATAAACTCAATTCAATTAAACCGACGAGTATCGATAACGTAGTCTCGGAGAATAAAAACCAAACAAATCCCTACAAGGTTAAATCCCTAGCTACAGTGAGACGACTACTCACAACCCATAACAACAAACGAGTTCAAATCAATAAGAAGAAACATAGAAACAGATAAAGAAGGCTCGCAGCGATCTCTCGACGACGATTCTTCAATCTCTGCTCCCGGAAAACTCCGTCTTGATTCTCTCTCGAGTTCTCTGGCTTCTGCTGTGATCTCTCGATGATTTCTGAAGTCCAAGACGTCTTCTATTTATTTGTTTGGCAGCTAGACTTCTTCCTTTGCTGAAAACAAAAGTTCGGATGCAAAATAAGAAGTTTTCCCGTAATACAACACGGTCGTGTCGAATGCAACACGGTTCGTGTCAATTCTCTGTTAAAAATATGCACTTTAGATATGGGCTGAACACGGGCGAGTTTGAATCAACACGGCCGTGTCGAATGACGGCACGGTTTGAGTCAATTCTCTGAGCAAAACTTCACTTTTTTCAGTACAGACACGACACGGCCGTGTCAAATTCAACACGGTCCGTGTCGATTCTTCAACTGGAACATGCTTGACGGATTTGCTCATAACGTTTTGCTCCAATGTCGGATTTGTGCGATCTTGGTGTCTATGCGTAGATATTGAAGAGAGCTTTCCAATGAGGTAGGCACAATTTGGAGTTGTATAGTGGAAGTTATTGGACTTTCAATATCTGACTTTTTAGGCTTCGTGTTTTTCCCCGGAACAACTCCAAATGTTCTCATTTCATCTGTGATGTTCTGTAGTCCATGTTTTCCACTCTTTTTGCTCTCTTTTATGCATGAATACCTGTTTTGACACCAAAAAAAGAAACCAAGTAATATCGAGACCAAATGTACTCTAGAATGCCTATAAATATGCAAAACCGAGTAAAATGCACTAGACATCTTATACCAAAATATCACCAAAATACATGTTATCAAACTCTCCCAGACTTAAACCTTTGCTCGTCCTCGAGCAAATACTCCATGAAAAGTAGTCTGAAAGGAGGGCGAGACAATGACATAACTCAAAATGATAATCGAGGACGAAACCTCTATCCGACCTAGATCTCCGTGAACCATGACCAAGTCTGTCTAGTATGATCTCCCTCTCTAAAGGAAAGTCTTTCCTAGTTATGGGATCTATACCGCTACCCAGAACCATCCAAGAACTTCAATCATCCACCAAGCATGTTTCTCGAACCTATCACGCCATTCTACCTAATCGTATCTAGTCTACGCTTTTGGTATTCATTCTTTTTCTCCTTCTCTTTTTTTTTTCTTTCATCTAGCTAGATTTTTTTTTCTTTTGCTAGCATCTCGGGTTCCTAGGACGTTGAAGTTGAAGGGTTCATAATCGCTCTTTTTGTCGATTTTATTCATTGGATGACCCGACCCACAACTTAGACCCGAACCATCTAATCGATGCACTCATGTCCTCGAATGATTTTCGTTGATGAGATCATGACAGCGAAGTGTCGAGATGCTTAATATCTTTTTCTGCACACGAAGAAATAAGGATGCATTTCATAATAGACTTTACCGATTTCAGCAAACATGGGGACAGTTCCTATAGAAACCTTTCTACTTGGCTAGACAACATCGATCCCATGGGTTCCAACCAACGATTTCTATCCCACAATCCATTCTAGACAATCCTAAAGGTCAAGCAATCAATTCAACAAAACATAACCACGTTCAACGGATCACAATGTTTTCAAGACGTTTCTACTCTCTCATGCCATAGATCATCACATCAATACTCAAAAGGGTTTTATGCACGTGATCTTATATGTACTAAATACTATATGTAAGTGTCTAACCCTAATAACAACAAACTGTATGATCCTAAAACATCCTATATGCACATGCAACTAAAAAGTGAAAATAAAATAGAAAAATGCATGCAACACTACTCTATATGGATATGGTTTGGCGTTAGACGAATACTCCCCCAGACTGAACTGGACGCTGTCCTCAGTGTCAATTCTCGTCTAGTAGAGGCAACCAATAAAATGAGTCAAAAGAGAAGAAAATCAAGAAGGAAAAAGAATACTTAACTCGCGATGTTCGTTCATTCGTACTTAAGTCTGCCTACGTCTATCGCATAGCTAGCTTCCTTGCCTCCTCAATTCCTCATTAGAACTCAACCTAGTGATAAGAAACACAAACCAGTATCTGATGCAAAAATAAACAGAAAAGAAAGAAAACTAACCTAAGAACTCGGGTTGCCTCCCGGGAGCGCTTGTTTAGGGTCTTTAGCTTGACCAAACTCTCTCAACTACCGGATGGGTCTAATGGGCGAAGATTATCGATCTTCTGCCAA